GTCACGAAATCACCACCGAATATGGGGCAAGGTCTCGCTTAGGGTTTGTAGGACACGATGGGCTAGATGCCAGATCGCTGGGATACTCTTTTGTACCCCCTGGACTGACCACCGCTAGACAAGTAAGAAATTAATCCTTCATAAAACTATTTTTTGAACAAAAATTTAAAAAAAATATATAAAGTTGGATGAAAATATTTGCTGTAAAGCTGTTGATTTTTTTATATTTTTAATCGAGAGCCTTTATCATATTGATAACGAACATATAAGTCAGCTTTCTTAATACTCAAGAATTTTTATTAAATTCGAATACTTATCGCGATATCGAATATTTTCAGGTCGATCAGTACTACTCGACATTGCCTTCAGAAGAAGTACCCAAACTGGGATCGAAAGGAGAGATGCTTCGATCGCAACGAATAGTGCGACAATTACCCAAACAAGACTTATCACTAAGTGCCTGTAAATTCGTAGAACCAGATTACGAAAGTAGTTATGAAGTAAGTAGGTTTATAAATTCATTTATTTTAACTATTAAAAACTGCTATGTTTTGCAGGATTTTGTAACGGGACGTAATCAGGTAGCCCTAGACGTCGGCGTAGCGAAGCCTGCGCCATCTAAGAGCAGCTGCGACAACTGTAATCTGCCGCTCTCGCCCCAGCAGATCGCTGTAACCGCTCCGAGATTAGGCAATCTGGTGTGGCATCCCGCCTGTTTCAAATGCAGGACGTGCGACGATTATTTGGTGGATCTGGCCTATTGTGCTTTCGAGGATGAAATTTACTGCGAAAGGCACTACGCGGAGAAACTGAAACCTCGATGTGCAGGATGTGACGAGGTATTACGGAGTTTTTCTACTACAACACATGTTAAAAAAATTATGAAATAATCAGCCAAAAAAAATAAATACATTTATCACTTGGAATCTGTATAATAATGGCAAAAATATTAGTATGACTTAATAAGTATGCAATTAATACTTGACTACAATGCTATGACATTAAATATCAAAATAATTTAATTTTTTTAAATCGGATTGTAAAAAAATCTGGAACCTTTTTTTTGACAAAATGGTGAAGGATTTTTTCAAATAATTTTTTAAAATTTTTAAATAAATTATTCAGTAGATTTTTAACTGAATGCATTTAAATTTAACCAGGATTTAACCAAACAACAATAACAATACTGGATGTAGTAAAAGACATGTTACCCCAATTACCGTAAAAGATTGAAATGGTTAATACATTTTTGGCATAGACAAATTTATAGTTAAAGACTCAATTACATAATTAAAATATGTATTCTACGAAGTCCTGGTACAATTTATTGTGGGCGTAATAAACGTTAGATTAAAACATATTTATGGAAAAAAATGCACTAATAATTTGACAAAATTGTCAAGGAAAAAAATCTATCCGAGATATTTTTTCTAGAATATGGCGGATGCGCTAGAGTCCGTGAATTAGAAGATCTAAGGAATTAAAATGAATTTTATATTACATAGATTTTAATAAACCACAACTAAAACTAATGAAAATAATGTTTTTTTGATTAATATTATTTTTGTTAAACATAAATTCAAATGAGCTACGTCATACATTAAAAAAAACTGTTTGATTATTCAAGTAACGAAAATGTGTTATTATTTGAGACTGTCGGGCGTTAAAAAAGATATCAGCTTGCAAATGCAAAAATTTATTTGTAATACTCCCACGCTATCCTACTTTTCGTTTATTTTAGTTTTCATTGAGAAATTTAGAACATGATCACTCAAATGTGATCTTTCTTTACATCTTACGGTATAATATCTAGTTTCGATGTTAGAACATTATTTGATGTGATAATTAAAAATATTATGAACAGAAACAGACATTTTTCATTTACAGGATGTAAAAAAATATTTTTTATTTTAATGGATACATTAATAATTCCAAAATTAGGGCTTTTTTACTTAAGAAAAGTGCTCTTTGTTTAGTTGGAAACGGCGAACGCTTTTTAAATATACTGGCGTTTAAAAGTATTAAATAATGAGATGTAAGGAAATTTTTGATAGGTGATATAACACAGGAAGATGAACGGAGTGTATTAAAACAATTAATAGCGTAGTTGGTCACGGCGCAGCGTCAGCGATGGCTATGAAATGAAGATCGCTGTCATTTTATATGTAAATTTATATGGGAAATGTCGTCGATCGTCATTTCCCAGCCAACGCGATGCCGTTTTTTTTTCGATCATACGGTACAATAAATCAAAGAAAATTTTGAATTTTTGTCGGACGTAGGTTCCGAGAAATTTCTTCGAGATGGAGAATGTAATATAGAGATATAAGAGAATTACAGCAAATCTAAAAAGGACGCAATGGAGAAGCCAAATAATCACTTCGTAAAAACTAATCTAATCTGCATCTTCCAAACTGTGCGATATAGGTTATGCTGCGCTACGTCATACCTCGCTACAGCTGCCCTTCTCCTGCCACCGGGACCGGTCTCCCGATGGACGTCCGGGTGCGGCAGGCGTCTTAGTCCGTCCTGCGACGCTGGAGATGCCGGCGTCCGTCGTTGCACCATGCAACCCGAGACGCCGGCCATTTTTGGCGAGCCCGCATCCCAGCGGCCAAACGGACGGGCCGTGTGCAAATCACGGCACACCGACTATTATTTATCCCATGTTCCCGAGCGAGAACAGACGGACGACATCGGAGGAGCAATTCTCGAAATAGGAATCACTCCGGGCGTATAGTAAATCCCAAACAACTAAACTTCAGTTTTTCGGGTATAAAAACTGACCACTCTGAAGGATTTTGCTATACCGAGTGGTGTATTGTCCTTGGAAACATAGGAAATCGCGAAGTCGTCCATAGGTGTTTCAAAGGTCTGCGTATGCTGAGTACACATGCCAAATTTGAACACAATTTTGAACAAGCCGATTTTAACTAATTTAAAAAAACTGCATTAATTTTTAAATTGAAACTGAACAGATAAAAATACTAAACTATGCTGTTGTCAACCTATGATTTTGTGAATGTCAAATTGTATTTTCTAGACGTTAAGTTTTTGCCTAATTCGTACAAGTCCTAAATTACAAAATGCATTTCTGGAACACTAAGCGTATGTATCGTATGATCGACACAAAAACGGCGTCAACGGTGACTATGAAATGAAGATTGCTGTCAATTTATATGTAAATTTATATGGGAAATGTCATCGATCGTCATTTCCCAGCCAACAGGACGCCGTTTTTTTCGATCATACGGTACTATAACGTAGTGGTGTAGACAGCACAACAAATTACATTTGACAATGATAAAATCATAGGTTGACAACTAGGTATGTTCATGTTGAAAACTTATGGTTGTATTTGTCTGGTTTTGCATTGTTACCTGTTCAGTTTTAATTTAAAAATAGATGCAGTTTTTCTTAAATTAGTTAAAATCGGCTTGCCCAAAATTGTTCAAATTTGGCACATTTGGTGTATTCAGCATACGCACATGTTTAAAAATTTATGTACGACTATGCTGCAAAATGCACACCACATGGTGTATAATAACAACATAATTTTTTTAAAATAATATTCAGTCTATATTTATTTTAATCTACACTCCAATATGTAAACAGCAAGCCTCTCAACTAAATGTATATTATAAATATACACATTTAAAACTAAATTGTTTTCGAACCTATAAATCCAGCTCATTTTTCAATCATGTCGACATCGAAATTGACATCGACAAGAATGTAAAGATGCCAAGGAAAAGCAAACGTTTACACGCACACAATTGCACTGTTTTATGATAAATTTATTTTTTGCTAGAGTGTCACAGTGGACGGCCCTGAAATGCACCAGTGTATTTCTTGAATAGTTTGGTACTTTTTTTTAAAACAAATAAGGAAATTATGTTCAAGCCTTTTAGAATATATAAACTTGATAGGCCTGAAAGTACGAAATTTTGCAAAAGCGGTCCTTAAGTGGTGTAATAATAAGATTTTTTTTTTCTAAATTCATCCCCTAAGAGTACGAAAATTTGTATTATTTATAATACAAATTTATAATTATAAAGAATTGGACAGATTCTTCGTGAATACAACAAAAAGATTATAGAAAATGTATCTACTTAGGAAGTGTGATATAGGGAATGAAAGATTTTGGAGTGACGTAAGCTTTACGAAAGAATTTTTGAAAAAAAAATGGAATGAAATGTAAACTTTTTATATCTGAAAATTGAAGCCTGAAGTATTTTTAGTAACATTATCAAACACTATCAAAATCTTAGTTTTCTCTGATTTTAGTTGGGGGCAATAATAGCTAGTTCTCGAATAAAAAAGATATACGTGTCAATTATAAACATGTTGGAAAATAGGCCAGGTTAACAACACTAAACATCTCGAAATGTTGGCAAAACTATGCGTTATCTTGCTGTGTATACGCGCTTATTTTTAGAATATGCCTGTTGTTAAAATAAATATTAAATCAGTATCCAGCTAAACTGATACATACAATTGAGAGAAACGTCTGGACGAGTTACATTTTATGTAGATTCGCTTTTTTATTTATTCTATTGAGAAATTTAGAGATTTTTTCTAAAAAAGTTTCTCTGAACAATCACTCCAAAGAAAACTGAGTAAAATTAAAAGATAAATATCTTCATTCCAGCGATTGTCCTGGTTAATTATAGAGTACATGCGGCGATTATTTAACATGAAATGAACTATTCTAATATGTATAGTTCGCACATGTATTTATTGGCATTGGTTCTAGTCGTGTCCCGAACATTTTTATATATATTTTAATATAGTAGTGTTTTAGCGACGATAGCCGCTGATAGCGTACATAGAGAACAAAAACCTAACACAGACACGCGTAATATTGTTTTTTTAATTCCAAACTCTTAAATCTTCAAGCCAAGCTGCCAGACTATTTTAATTACTAATTACCAATTAATAGCCAGGTTTTTTAGAGACACATAGACCTGCCCAGGCCAACGTAATTGGCACAGTGATTTTTTAGTGTAGTTCGTTATGCATTGAGCGCGACCGTAACATTTCTCTGTTCGATATAATTCTGAAAAACGCGAGTTATAAATACGGACGGAATCATGTGAAATGGGTCTCCTCCTCTCGGTCCTGGTCGCTTGTGTGGGAGTCTTAGAACTGCTCTACCTCTACAACATTGTAAGGAATCGCGTAGGATACAACATTTCAACACCAAATCTTCCAGAGATTCAGGACGAAAACATTAGACAGTTAGAGGATCGAAGGAATCAACTTATACTTCAATTAAACAGACTGAAAGAACAGGTTTCACGTGAAAAAAGATTTGAAAGACTGTCGAGTCACGAGGATATAACCGTTGAGTTTAACGATCAAGTTGTAACACCTCGTTCTAGAACTCCATCCCCCAGAAGATTTCTTCTTACCGAAAAAAAGGAACGTTCGGCATCCCCTAGACATTTCTTGGTTTCCGAAGAACCCCAATGTCTGAGGAATATCCAGAAATCGAAAACGCAACAATGTGTTCCGGAGTTTTTAATACGGGAAGACGAGGACCACGCAAAATCACAAATTCCCAGATTTGTTTTGAAAGATGGGAATAATAAGGTGCCTCTGCCTTTACCTGAGAAGTTTTTCATTTCTGAGGGATCTGATGTAGAAGAAAATACCGTGGTCAAGAGCAAAAACGTTTTTGAAATCGATGGGGACTTGTATTATCAAAGATCTCCCTCACCGTTTCCCGATATTGAATTAAATCATTCGAAAAATGGATCTTGTAACTCATTCTTGAACGAGTCGTATAGCGTAGCAGAGGTTGACGAAAATCGTAGATCAAAATCTACTTCTCCAGTAGAATTTACTAAATATCCTAATGCAGCGGCTGTAAAAATAACTTTAAACGATCATACGACTTTGGATTCATCAGATTTTAAAGATAGTTTAGAAAATAACGATACTGAGGACGTTTTGTCATCTGAAGGAGAAGAAAGTAACACAGAATTTTCGAAATTGGGACAGTTAGATGACGTAGATGGAACTAAAGGATGCAAAATGAAGAAGAAGTTACTTAAAAGAAAAAGAATAAAAAATAAGTTTAACACCAAAGATTCACTAGGTATATTATGAAGCCAAAAGTCATATTTTTTCCCACAACCTACAAACACAACAAACAAACTAACTTCTAACAAAATACACAGTCAGTAAAAAAGTGAACGAGAAAATAAATCACACGTATATTATTTACCAGACACTCTAGAATGTTGGGAATCCTCCGCTTAATAAAACATTTTAATGGTAATTTAATATTAAATTACCTGATGTATTCTATTTTTAAACAAAAATATATTATAATTAAACTTTTGCATTTTACTTCGTTCTTTTTTGATTTTCTAGAGCATAAGCTACTGTATTTGTATTTGATTTTAGGATGTGGGAAAACTACTATAGAAACATGCTAAAGACTGGCATTCTGCATTACTAATATACTCATATATTTTTCCTAACGTATTCCTATTTTATCACTCAAAAAAACTACAAAATCAACCACAAAGTGATATATAAAAAACATTACCAAACCAAGTAACAGTTAAAAGGCTTTTGGTTAGTTTACAATTTCTGTTACTTTAATTTAGAGTTTAATATTAATTTCACAGATTTTTGAGCTGGTATTTTTTCATGGGCATAATTTTTTTGGGTCTATAATCTACACTTTCCATACTCATTATAAAATATAGGTATATTATTATTGTTAAAACTATTTAATTTTTATTTATCAAGGCTCGTCCAATTCCGAAGAATCAACTAATTTTACTCCAGAATTTGATGTGTCGAAAAATGATTCAAATAGTGACGTTAAGCCAGGAGAACCTTTTTGGGTAAATCGTTGAAAAGATTTAGCTTGTATTACACACCATTGCTTATTTAAGTAGTTTTAGAAATAAAATACGTAAAAAGCAGCTTTTTGCAGTGTATTTTATTTTGGTTTTGTCTGTGTTACGTCCAAGATCAAAGTGTTTGAGTGTTTATATTTGTTTATAGGAGTGTTCGTCACCAGTCGATGCACGATAATTGAAAGATTATCTCTTTAATTCAAAAAGAGAGAGCGTTTATATTATGCGATGTATTCAAGTAAACAAGGATCTGTGCCAAAAATCGGTCGTGGCCGAGAAAAAATCTATTTTTATATAAAGATTGATTGTGAAGTGTGAAAAATATAAATTTATTGGAGAAAACAAACCCTGCACCGTTGGATTTTCTGTTAGAACATTGCTCATCAAATTCTATGATTAAATAGTAAAGTAAATTCTTTTAAAAGTTAGCAGACGTTTAACGATGAAGCTTTAGAAGCTTAAAAAAAGTTTTTTGGAGAACATTAATATAATTCATCCCATTAAATGGAGGACGCGCTATTTTACCAAGTTTTGTGTGACTACTTGATCGAAAGTATGAAAATGAACAAGGGTATTTTGATAGGAAAATATTACAATTGAGAGTTGGAACTTTTGTTGTTACAACACCAAAATAAAACATTAATTCATTATAATACACCGAAACACTTTTTTTGCACTGGACACGCCTTTTGCTAACCATGTTAGCATCATCAGCAGATGATTAAAACCCAAGTTTTAGTCTTTTGGTGTGTTATGGTGAATTAGTGTTTTTTTTTGCATTAAGAAGTAACGAAAATTTTTTTTGGAAAATCATATATTTCTGTCTAACACAGGGAATGAAAAATTTTATTAAAATTCATTACATTCGGGTCTAGAAATTTGAAACTTTTACGATCATCACTTTACTGATTGAGCACTGGAAACATAATTTTACGCGGACGAAGTTGCGAACAAAGCCTAGTTCATTCTAGGTACATTAAAATGACAATTACAGTTAGTTTAAAAGAAAAATTTAGAAGTTGTTGGATAAATATTTTTTATGGTTGAATTGAAACTTGAACTCTATATTGTTTTAGTATGTCTAAACCTGTCTTCTACTCGATCATTATTGTAGATATATGAATAATATATTTTAAACAGTGAGAAAGTTACGAGAAGGTGGACTGATAAAAGACGTTAATCCAATTTAGCGAGTGCGGTTTTCGGAGACGCCAAATCCTCGTTATTAATCCAGACAGGCCCGTCGTGAAAATTGGATTTAATCGATTACGTCAAAGTTGCCGTTTGAAAAATGTTATTTTCGCGTATTCGCCACCACCGAAATCTCTGTGTGTGTCGGTGATGGTGCACCCGGCACAACACCTCGTTCTTCTATCATTTTCTAAAAATACCATCGGGAAAATCATCTCTTACGGGCCTCTGCCGCGATCCACACAATCCAGTCGTGCCCGTCGCGTTTTCTAGTACTGCATTCGCTGCCCCAAAGTAGTTCCGACTCAAAATGGGAGACGTGGACGCGTATTCCACGGCCAACTTCACCATCACCGAGAAGAAGACGAAGAAGGTGAAGAAGGTGACCAAGAGGCAGCAGCAGGAGAATGACGTCGGCAGCGAGACCACCATCACGGACGTCACCAACGGCAGGGGGTATGTGTGGTTATTGGCATTGGGGACTTAAAGAGACGCTGCTATCCAGTTCAAAGTGACAAAGTGATGATGCGAACGAAAATGACCGTTTCAAAAAGGTTTTTTCCTAATCAGAAATTGAATCTGTATTAAATTGTCAAGTTTTGTACATATACACCTTCAAAACCATCTAAAATTTCTGAGATATCACACTATTTGCCATCATAAAACTTTTAAACATATCACTATGGCTTCGAAGCAAACTGATGAAATCATAGTTTTCAATTCAAAGCCAAAAAACTGTTTATCTGTAACAAAATGCCGAAAGTGAAAAAATTAGTGAAATTAATTTTCACAAACGGTTATTTTATACTAAGTGTAAGCGTCATTATAATAGCTTTCATTTCGTCTACTAAGTTACCAGTGGTTCCAGTTTTAGGACCTAGATGTAATAAATTTTCATACAATTTTTGTTTCTAATGCTCAATTAAGTACCGTATGATCGAATAAAAACTGCGTCAGCGTTGGCTATGAAATGAAGATCGCTCTCATTTTATATTATGTAAAATTATATGGGAAATGTCATCGATCGACATTCCCAAGCCAACTGGACGCCGTTTTTTTTTCGATCATACGGTATAATTTAATATTTCATGTTTCTGGAGTGAAATATAATGAATGTTCAAATATTTTTTCCCGCTAAATTGATAGTTTTCAAAGAAAAGGACTCGTCCTTACTATTGCGACTGTAAATAAGAAGCTTCAAGGAGACTAACATACCCCCGTTGATCATGTTGTAAAATTGCTTTGTTCTTATTAACTTTCCAAAAGACCTTTTTTTCATCCTGTAATACAGTTGGGGATTGGAGCCGTTGGTTGTTACAAGAGCAAAATAATAACACTAATTCACCACAATACACCAAAACACTTTACTTTTGTACTTGACGCGTGTTTCTCTAACCATGTTAGTATCATCAGCAGATGATTAAAACCGCAGATCATTATCATCTGCTGATGTTGCTAACAGTAACAACCAGTGCAAAAGTAAAGTGTTTTGGTGTATCTATTGTGTTGAATTAGTGTTTTATTTTGCTTTCATTCTGTACTTTTTCCAAATCATTGTTTATAAGTTTATTTAAATCTCTACCTATATAATAATATTTCTTGGAAATCGTTCAAAAAAATAAAATACAATGTATACAAACGTGTACAATATGTATTTGAAACCACCTGGCGTGTCATCTTACATGAACAGGTTTCGGCCTACGCAAATATGTACGGGATGTTTCAGTTTTCGTAAACATCATTTTAAAAAAGGTGTAGAGTTTAATTTAACAATTAAGTAATAGTTTTTAATGAATATTAAAAAATAAATTGCATAACCTTATGATTTTAATTAGAGTCGATTGTTAAAAATATCTTTTGAAAAACAAATCGATGAATCATCGATCGGTCGATTAAGATTGAGGGGGATTGTATAAACGGCCCACTTGCCGATGCAGATTGTTATTTGGAGATAATTTTACGGGAAACTTGTTTTCAATTTGACCGTGATATGGGATATTCGATACGAACAGTTATAAGATGTCCTTAAACATCACACCCACACCATTGGAGCGAATATTAATTTGAATATCATTAAAATCGAAAACAGACATGCCTACGTATATAAAAATATATTAACAAGGCTTAAAGAAATTTTAATTCTAACATATTTAGTAGAAAGTGTTTAGAACTCTTTCTGTTATGTTACCAATATGTTTCATACCATATTTGGTAATGCATTTAAATTTCTTTCGTTTTAGCGATTGTGGATAAGTATTGGGAATTAAAGAAGATTATACCAATGCGATGAACGACAAAATTAGAGGAAAGTAACCAAATATGGAATACCATTTAGTTTTTGTGTTATATAAAAAAAAGTATTAGGTATAAATCAAAAATGTTTATTCTTAGTCAAAGACCCTAAAACAATCAAACAAATATGTAATCAATGCATTGTCATAATATACAATATTATTTGTAATCACGTATCAAGAAACACTTACTTTCTGAGTACCTTAAAAACTTTTCTCATGGCGCTAAAAGAAAACACTCTCACCTTGGCCAAAAAGTCCGTTTAAATGACAAGGCAAAACATGCACTTGAGTATAATGATGGAAAGAAATTAAAATTCACTGTCCTTTGCGATTAGGCGTATTCGTTTCCAAGAAATGGAGGTATTCCATATTAGGGATACTATTCCATATTTGGTTACTTTCTTCTAGTGATGGTAGACAATGCCTGGTCAAATCATCATAAGATTCATTGATTCATAGCTAGAGTTTTTTTTAACAAGGAACCTCATAATAGTAGCAATGGTAGTAATATTAGTAATAAATACATGTTTTCACACAAATTATTCGTTTTAGATCAATCGAATTATTAAAAATTGAGCCTTATCTATAATTTGGCGAAAATATCAGCTTATGATCTATTTAACTTTTTTATAAAATAAAAATTACACTATAACACATTACTAAAATTTTGGATAGCACTTTGTCACTAAAACTGGATATTACATTAAGGAAACATGCCAAATACATACCCCCTGTATTAACCATAAGGTACATACTTATAAAAAAGTACTACCTACGACTATAGGTTGTACCACACGTATATACCACTCACATCCACTCTTAAAACAAAACCTTATAAAATATAATTTATTTCAGTTTTATTTCTACATCCCCCATCCATGATGACACACTCCACATATTTTATATTTCGCAATACTCAAACTTACAAAATGCCGACAGGAACACATCAAGTTTTGCATGAAAATAAGTTCTATTTTGGTACGAAAACAAAATCTAAAACAAGACAACGGTTGCTGTCTAGATCATATGCCAGCGTTTATATTGCGGTTTATTTTACTAACTTTTAATATTATATAGTTTTAAGATGATAAAATCAATTTAGTTACTTTCAAAATAAAAGAATACTCTAATATTAGAATTTTAATTTAATTTCTCGTGACGTCAAAGTCAACGTGAAATACGACGATTTCGCGTGATACCTATTCCCAATAAGTTCTTGGTACCAAGACCCTTCGAATTTTATTTATGTAAAATTTTAGTCAGATTTTATTTTTGGAACTGAAGTTCAACCAAAAACACGTTTCTTTTTTCAGTCAAATACTTCAACCAAAAACACATTTCTTTTTCCAGTCAAATACCAGTATGAAATATTTCTGTTTACTTCGATTCTGATGATACATTCAGAACATTTAAATATGCAAATTTAATTAGTTTGTTGTTTGGCACTATAGGATATTATTGTCATTGGATAAAATTCTGGCAAAGTATGTTTGTGTTAAAAACGACTGGATGCATGCACAACATAAATTTTCGAATGTGCCTGGATTTCAATGTTTTAGTTTTATTGCAGATCTTAAAGTCATACTAAAAATGAATAAAAATACAAAAGTAGAAAACTTCGCTCAGAATACATTACCAAAGTACATCATTCTTTTGGACCTTTCATTATGTTTGTTTTTGCTTTTAGCTTATTTTTAGTGGGGAGTACACAAAAGCAATGAACAAGGACTGGCACGGTCAGCATTTCTGTTGCTGGCAATGTGATGAAACCCTGACTGGTCAGCGCTATGTTCTTCGCGACGATCACCCTTACTGCGTGTCCTGCTACGAGTCAGTTTTTGCCAATGCCTGCGAAAAATGCAGCAGAACCATTGGCATCGACTCCAAGGTGTCTTTTTTCTTGAATTTAGCCAGAAAACATCGTTTTTAAATTATTAATTTGCAGGATCTGTCTTACAAAGATAAACATTGGCACGAAGCCTGTTTCTTGTGCACCACTTGCGGGGAATCGCTGGTAGACAAACAATTTGGGTCCAAGGGAGATCGTATTTATTGCGGACGTTGTTACGATGAACAATTTGCTTCGAGATGTGATGGATGTCATGAGATATTTAGAGCTGGTGAGTATTTTTATTTAGTTATAGGTAAGAAAAGTAAAGGCACCTTGAAATGTTCATGTATTTTAAAGTTTCAAATATTTTATTCTGGTTAATTAGACAGCAACTATAGCGGATACAAATTCTGGACAAATCATCAAAATCGTTCCACCTGAACAAAATATATGAAACTTTAAAATACATTAAAATTTGAAGATGCCCGTTTTTCGTGCCGCTTAGTGAATTTTCGTGATTGACATAATTTTTACATTACTGAAAGTTGTGCTGTGAGAAATATCCAACGTAAAAATTGGATAAACAACAGGCAAGAGCGCAACAGATCATAAAGTCCGTATGATTGAATTACAATAATATGTAAAAGTTAAACGAAAATATTTAAAAAAAATCACGTATAAAAGGAATACTATAATTACAAGGTAATAACAATCAAAACAATAAACATGAGGATGATATCACCGTATCGCCCACAATGTAAATCAAACGACACCGGAATCTATAAAAAAATATCGTAATAAATCTTCGATTCCACCTCCAGCATTAATTTATGTCGTTTAAATTTAACTTGTCAACGTAATACATTTATAATGCTGTCAGAAAAATACTTAAATCTCTCTCCGAACCATATGGCAGCGGAATAATAAAATAAAAAAAAATTCACGCACGGTACTTAAGGAGAATAAGCTATTGTCAAAAGTAATTTAGTTACTAAATTGGTTTTAATGTCAATTTTTTTCGGCATTTTAAGATTGCTTTTATTTTAAAACGTGAGTCAGAAACAGAAATCTCTGGTAAATGTTATTCTCAACATTTAGTGACATAAATTAGTTTTAATATATACAGGGCGATCCACTTTTTAGAAGCTAAACCGCATAAATAATTGATCTTGTTTTCAAACAGCCTACATTTTTATAATGAATCTTTTTTAACCCCTCTACTGTGATATAAATTATCTTCCTAAAATAAGTTCTTATATCGATTGTTAAATTTTTACTACGAAAAAGTGGACCACCCTGTAGATATATGCGTTTATAAGTTTATACATAAAGTTATGTTGTTATGGGTTAAATTTACTTTCTAATAATGATTGTCTAGAAAATTGAAAACAATTACGACCCATTAAATATTGTAGTGCCAAAATTTTTCTAATATTTTCTTGTTACCTATATATTTGCATACCTATGTTAATAATAAATAATAATTATATTTGGGTTTTTTCTCTGTGATTGCGGCGGCATACAAGTGATGAATCAAAATGTTTCTCCAACGATAAACATCCTAAAATGGTCACGATTTCTGTTTTATAAAGTGAGTAACAAGTTCTGTTGCTTATACTACCATTTTCGTTCACGTGAAATAGCCGACCTTACATTTAATACAATTTTATTGCGATTCAAGAATTATGTAGGTCTTCGTCGTTGGTGACAAGGTACAAAAATCGGACGCGACTTTATAGAATTGAACGAATAGTTTCGTACAGGGTGTCACTACAGGATTACTTTTTAAGCAAAACGTCAATAGGAAATTAAAAATAAAACCTTAAAAAAGGCACACTTAAAAATTTTTTTACTACTCACTATTTGCACTTACTAGAAATAAAATCTGTTATTTCTAAACTGAATGAAGGAGTTATAAATCAAAACCTGATGATTACCATAAGTTATCACCCAATTACTTTTTTGATTATATTAAATTATACAGATGTATTGGCGTGATTTCAAAATGTTCTTTATTGTCCATTTTATACATTATATATTTTGAGAGAGCTGAAGATTTTTATGACATCGCACACTAATAGCAGAGCTTAATTACTGCTGTAAGGAGTTAAATCTGCGCGTAGGTGGACGATTAAAACGAACTTTTACCGAGGATTAAACACCGGCAGGCAGACATTTACCAGTCTCGTCCCTCCTGTAACATCGGCAGCGGCAGCAGCAGAAGCAAGGCTGATCGATGACTCAGGACAACCCGTCTCGTCGTAACAACAGTCTATCGTCGAGTTCTCTGCCTGAATCTTGAATATCGCGAGTGAACGACCGATCGGTGCTTCTAATTTTCGGATGAGTTCCAAACGAGTTTCGTTAGTTCGGTGCCGCGGAAAAAATCATCTCTTGCACGACAATGACCAGTGTTCTGAGTGACCAGTTCAAGAGGATGAACTTGCAGACGAAAACTGTGGGAGGCGATCGGATCAAGAGGGCCAGGGAGAGGAACGAGGATGTGGCGATACTGTCGATGGACCTGCCCGGCGATAATAAAAGCTTCAAATGTTGTCTGGGAAAGGATTGTTTGTTTGGGGATGCGGCCAGTCTTCCTTTAGGTGTGATTATTTTTTATTTTGCTGGAAATTTTAAGGAAGATTTTTTTCCAGTTACAATCTCTTTATAAATAGCAGTTTTATATTTCAGAGAATATGTGGTGTGTTTTTTTTGTCGTTTTGTTATAAATAATTTTTATATTTCTTCCAGTTTCCTACCTACTTTCAATAAAAAAAGACATTAATTAACTATGAATCTCTTTATCTAACAAAATACCTTAACAATAAAATTACTCAAAAGTAGGTAATTCTGAGTAATAAATTGTAGCGCAACTACAAATTTGTAAATTAAAATACTCTCTCCAGAGTTTACGCTTATTATTACGTAATGCCATTAAACTTTTGACACAATCGAGTCATAGTATTAAAGTAATCAATAAAGTTCACTAACAGATTTTTGTATACAGGGTGTTTCGAAAGACATGTGCCATCTCTTGTGCCGAAAGCAAGTAATCATATGAAAAGTAACGTGAAACAGAAAAAAGAGCCGGAAATAAAAAGTCTGCGTGTGCAAATGTTTAATAAAAACTTGTAATTTAAAGCCGAGTGCGAATAATTGTTAATTTACAAGTTTGAAATTAGCATCTAAATGGTGCCAAGTAGCTCGAAGTATGTTTTTCTAATTAGCGAAAAAGCAAACAATAAAAAACCTATATATGCAAATAAGGGGGTACAAGAATAAAAGCCCCGCAGCAAAGCTGTATCCGTGACGCACAGATTTAAATAAATATTATTTCAGATGCTTCGGAAAAGCTGTTTGTCGTACTCATTTTTTTTCTTTCGAGTAAAACTATACAGAGGTTTGTGTAATAAAATACATTTTACTATGCAAAACAGGTAATAAAATGTCAATATGAATGGATAATATTCAGAAAAATTTTAGTTAATTTAAAATTTTGGAACTACATGCAGAATATCCATTTTCCTTTTTTAATTACGTCGATGATAAACAAAGAGTGGCTATGTTTAAATTTAACTACTTGCAGATTTTACTGTAATAAACGCATAATGACTCTCTTCTTTATGTAGTGTCGTTAAATCTGACTTAAGAGCATAATATAAACTTTTCAATTACTACATGCGCTTTTTGTATACAAGAATAACCATTTTGAGCTTGTACTGAGAAATAATATTTTGATTTGGTTAAGTATAATTTTTTTAATACACAATACGGTAAAAATGGACACGATTAACTGCAACATTTACAATCATTAGTGATTAAAGAACTAACAAAAGATTAAATAAATGTTGTTTTAACACTGGCAATTATTATTTCATTGTCATAAGTCTGACGATAATCGAAAATATATAGAATAGGGTCGTCTGGTCGCATTGACCTCCTTCTGGCTCATTTTTATATAGTAATCCTACGGTTTTATTTGAATTTGGGCAACTAATGGCTTTTTGACATGTCATTGTGCACTACCCACCAGTAAATTTATTCCGGTATAGAAAAAAAGTTTTTATTTCTAATAAGGTTTTTTTTCATTCGCTTACTGCGAGATGACGACTTAAGAAAATGCCTTATTTTGTTTGGGCGGCAGATAATTAACTTTTTGATTAGTGTACCCATGTAAAATGAAATAACATTTCTAAGTTATTTAATTTCCTTTTATATTGTTTTTTATTTATAAAAAGGCATGTCATGTCGATCAAGAGAAGTTAATTATATTCTTCTTATGAAAAAAAAAATGATTATAAATCTATTAGAAAGAGCTTATTGGTTGAGTTGAAATGTAATTAATCTGAATATCTATTACTTCCTGTATTTTAATCAAGTATACCAGGTGGTGCATCGTCGTTGGAAACATAGGAAATCGCATGTAAATTTGAACTGTCCAAATATTGGCTTCTCCGTTGATTTCACAGCGAAGTTGTAAATAGGTTTTTTAAAGAAGGTCTGAATATGTTGAATACACATGCCAAATTTGAACAATTTTGAACAAGCCGATTTTAACTAATTTAAGAAAAGCGCTTAGTGTCCCCAAAGTGCTTTTTTGTAATTTAAAACTTGTTCGGATGAGGTAAAAGCCTAATGAATAGAAAACTCACAGTTTGGCACTATTCACAAAAAATAGATGCAGTTTTCCTAATTGGTTAAAATCGGCTTGTACAAAACTGTTCAAATTTGGCATGAATGTGTATTCAGCATACGTAGACCTTTTAGAAAACGTATGTACGACTTCGCTGTAAAATTAACAGGAGATCCAATATTTTGAGTTCAAAATTTGCATGGGATTTCCTGTTTCCAACGACTATGCACCAACCGGTATCATTTGACATTAAATATGTGGATTTACAACTACAATATACGAATAATTTTCTAGTTATTAAATATACAGTGATAATATCTATAGCAGGTACTCAGGTACAAGTACCATAAAAAAACAATTCCTAAAAGCACTAATGTCGTCATAGTATTTAGTCACTGACCATATGAACTTTTTATTTTTAACTTTATGATATGAACCTATAATTTAAATTAAACTTTTCCTCATGTATGTTTACTTTATATTCTTAGAAACTAACTGAACAAATCGTATATAAAATAAATAAAGATAAAAATGAATGATATTATTTAATTAGCATTATCATTTATTTCAACCATAAAAATTGTTTATCTAACGAAAATTTAAATCTGTGACATTAAATTACCAAAATGGATATTTTAAACTAACTTTAAAGTTGTCATTTTTATACACGTAGTGATAACTTAAATCTTATTATAAGATCTGAGAGTGGAATAACCGTATAAAATCAACAAATTAGGAAGCCAAGCTACAAATTTGTAAAATTAACAACTCTTATTATTTACTATCAAACTTTAGAAAAAAAAACGAGTCAATCGAGTTATACTGGATGAGTCTTAAATAAGTGCAAATATTTTCAGGGCTGGTAGATCTCGATAAAACAAACAAATTTTCTCTTTACCGTTTTTCAAATAACTCAAAAATAACCGAGATATTTTACTTTGAAAATATCCAAAAAAATGTTATTTTGCCAAAATTTTGAGAACCACTTAATCTTTTCTGGATTTTCTTTCTTATAAATTTAACCTATTACCTATGTTGCATATTATTAACAAATTAAATTTTTTAAGTAAAAACTAAAAATCGATTAGAATCGATTTTAAAGTTTACATCAAATAAAGAAGAATTTTAATTTAATTTTAACAGTATTTTTTTAATATGTCATAGAGATTTATCTTTGTTAATGAATATAATAATTAGTATTTTTTTGTCAGGTACGAAGAAAATGGAGTATAAGACAAGGCAGTGGCACGAGAAATGTTTCTGTTGTTGCGTGTGCAAGGTCCCGATCGGTACCCAGAGCTTCATCCCGAGGGAACAAGAGATCTATTGCGCCAAGTGTTACGAGGACAAGTTCGCTACTAGATGTATTAAATGCAACAAGGTGAGTAGAGCATCAAAATTTTGTTACAATTATTATTGCTCTGCTTCAACATAATATTACTTTTTTTAGAAGCTATAAAATTTTTTTTTCTATATACTGTTCCGTAAAGAATCACACTAGAGGATATCGATTTTTTCTAGCTCGATTTGAATGTGTAATTAAAAAAAAACAAAAAAGATATGGCTGAATTTTTTCCTAAAAATTAAAACGTGTTTGTATGGTAATCTAATTTCAGTTTCATTGTTTGATAGATGGTTATTATTAAAAATTCTTTGATTAACGTAATATTTTTGCTGTTGTTAAAGTATCACATTTTTCTATAACTATTCGCACCCTGTCCGTAGTATTGAACTAAATAAATTTTGGCTTCTTTAACATTTTAAAACAGCAAAAAATATGATGTTAACTAAAATTCTATCAATAACAATCTATAATGAAATAAGAATGAAATTCAAATTATATTACCATAGAAACGGGTTTTGATTTTTAGGACTTCAAGGGAAATTCAACTATATTTTCAGTTTTTTTAATTTTCTCTGTGATTTTCCCTAAAACGGCATAGAAACTTGGAAAAGTATAAACGGGATTAACCATTTTAGAAGAAGCAAATTTTTTATGAAGAATGCATTTTTTTCAAAATGTCAATAATAAAAGTTTTTCCTCTTTTCAAAACTGATAAAAAGAAACTTTTTTGTGTCCTGGTTTGTTTAATTTTCTTTATCTTATTTGCAGGTGATCACCAGTGGCGGCGTGACCTACAAGAACGAGCCCTGGCACCGCGAATGTTTCACCTGTACCAATTGTCAGAAGAGTTTGGCAGGTGAACGGTTCACTAGTCGCGACGAGAAGCCCTACTGCGCAGAATGTTTCGGGGAACTGTTCGCCAAACGCTGTTTCGCCTGCAACAGGCCCATCACAGGAATCGGTGGCACCAAGGTAGTCTACTAGATTCCATTAACCCGATTAATGGTGTCCCTAGATCCTAGATCACATCTTTGTTTATACAGACTCACAGGCACGGAAAACGGGCACTTTAAAATTTTTACGTTTTAAAATTTAATATGTTTTGTTCTAGTGGGCCGTATATAATAATAGTGGGCCGATTTTGATGATTTTTTAAGCAATTTGTAGTTAAATTATTTAACTTTTTAGAATCTCTTTCCAAACTATAAATAAAACTTCCCATCTGTCAAGTTAAAACAAAATGTTGATATTTTCGTGAAAGTGCCAAACCCTGTGGATTACATTAACAAAGCAAGGTTTTTAAAAATCATTTTTTCATCTAAGTACGTCTTTTCTCGATAGATTGTTTCATTCATCTCAATAGTTTTATTTTTGTTGGAGATGTTCGCTTTTGAAGAAGATACTAACATTTTTCATAAATTTTATATTAAAATCATGCCTTTACTTTTGGTGATAGTCCTAGTAACAGACCTAGCAAGTTGTGGTCCCGAAGCATGTGTTCTTGACATAAAATAGGTGCTTTAGGTGCCATTCATTACAAATGTGAAAAGCTTGCAAATGGCGATTTCTTAGCGATAGTGACAATAAATCGATGTGTCTTCTTTAAAAGCGATTGTCTCAAAAAAAAAGCTATTGGAACGAACCAGAAAATAAATTATCGAGAAAAGATGCACTTTGCACAGATGATAAAGAAAAAGATGATAAAATTATTTTCAAATTCCTTGCTTTGTTAACAGAGTCCACAAGCTGGAACACCCTTTCAACAAAATATCAACATTTTCTTTTCCCTCGTATAATTGACAGATGAACTTTCATTTTTAATTTACAAAGAGATACCAAAAAGTCAAATAATTTATGTACCTACATATTTCTTAAAAAATCATCAAAATCGGTTCACTAGAAAACAATATAAACTGTAAAATACATGAAAATTTTAGGGTAATTTTCATGCCTGTAGTTTTAAGTATTGTAATATCTTATTTTCTTTTAGTTTATCTCCTTCGAGGATAGACATTGGCACAACGATTGCTTCTTTTGTGCCAGTTGCCGCACCAGTCTAGTGGGCCGAGGTTTCATCACCGACCAAGAAGACATTATCTGTCCCGACTGCGCCAAACAGAAACTGATGTAAATCACGTCCGCTTCCAGGACCAGTATTCAATATTTAATGCGAATAATCGACTTTGTCTAAAAATCAACATAACAAAAAAATACGAGTTGCCATTATTTTGCACTATATTACGCATTAAATGAATTCTTTTAAGAATCTCACACGACACACATCAATACACACCGCACAAATGACAAAAAACAACAACTGAGTTAAAATTTAAAATGAAAAATCATTAAGAAGATTATTATCAACTTTCTTAGTCTATTTAATAATGAGATTTCGAGCTTAAAAAAACTTCACGCGTACGTGACTATTTTTATTAACTTTAAAAAAATAAAAGATATATATCGAATCAAAGTATTTTTTAAGAAATAAAAACATATATTTTACTATCAAAAACCGCAATATATAAAATTTTTGAATATATTTTTAATGTAGTTTTTACATTGTTATCGGCTTTAATATATTTCTAAAGCGCTATTTTAAATGGATCCACCTAAAATTAAGAGATTATATGCCTACTACTTTAAAATCTCTTTGTTTTGTATGTATAACGAGATGATTTGTAGATATAGAGATGCTGTATAGAGCTTGAAGCGTTAAAAATAAAGGGCGATATGGTGCTACTTAGATTTTTTTAATTATTGATATGTTACTGATTATACAAATATTTATTATTAACAATCGATGCTGTTATATTTCCAATTTTATTAACAATTTGGAATGTTGATCTATAGCGCTTTCTCCCATGATAAAATTTATAAATACACAGGGCTTTGCTTAGGGATATTGTTATATTTTATTCATTAATAAATTCTTTTTAAAATTTATACTGTTTTATTAAAACCTTTTTTTAAGTACCCCAACATTGGCGTAAGTACAAGGGTGCCCGGGTGTGCCGGGCCCCCCCTTGTACTGCAGGGCACCCCCAGAGGAATCCTGAATTATGACTTTGGGCTACGTATTAATTTTTATTAGCTTGTGATGTAGTAAAAATGACGTTTTCTAGTTTTGTTTAGTTAGTATTATTTTGTTGTGTTCAAAAAAAGTGTTAATTTTTATTTTTTTAGAAAATTTGTAGGTATTTAAGTAATCTACGGGAACACGGTTTGATAACCAAGTCTATGAAATTTATTGATAGAGAAATTCAAAAATTTGACATTTTATTCAAAGAATGTGTTTTTTAAAATTATTTTTTATTTTAAAATTATTATTCAGGCCCGCCCAGGATAATTTGCTAGTTACGCTAATGTACCCCAACCTATTGGTGAATTTTTAATCCATTATTCATTCAGTGATTCATGATGACATTTTTAAATCACTCGCATTCAATGGAATTAGCTACCTAGTATATTACCAAGCATTAGCTAAAATTTTTCCTATTTATACAGGGTTGTCCCCATATTCTGCGGATATAGAACTACTACAGATTTTTAGAATCAAAATAAGTTGATTGGGAATATTTGGGAAAATTTGGAAATCCATTGGGAATATTCTAAGAACCGTTATTGCGATTTGGGTTGCCTTTGTTTTGCCAAGTGCTTTAACATTTGACTTTCACATAAACTGTGACATAAATCAAGAGATAGTATGGGAAAGGTAAAAATTACACCCGCCCCTTTATTCATTTTGATGTATGAATGATATTTGACATTAAGCTTTATAAATTTTAAATTAATGTTCGAGATTATTTTTGATTAATGTCCTCTAACGGACAAACGGAGCACTTTAGTATAGAGGTAGATTGAGTGCAATTAATATAGTGATAATTGCCAATTATCTTATTTCTATACAAAAATTAGGTAGTTGTTTTATGTCCTCGGAATATTGGAACTCCCTGTAAGTGCATTTTGTTATTCTGCTTTAGAAAAAAAATCCCAATTTTTTTTCCTCAGAAAATATGCAATATGGCAATATTTTTACAAGACACAAAAAATGTAGTGGGAATGGGTGGGTTGGGTAAAATTAAACAAAATATAGTTAAAAAATGATACAATTCTAACTGATTAATTACAAAAAAAAACTAAAATTTGTAATTTGTTGGTATTGATAACCCATAACAAGTAACAAATAATAAATTAATATTTAACTGAATCAATTCCAAATATGTCTATAGTATAATTATATTTATGAAAAAATTATGAGATAAATTAACAAACTGAATATGTAACTCTTAAAATTATACACTGTAAGAGTATTTCGAACTAGAACCAGTCTTATCCATTGTATCCTTATGGACCTCATAACCTATTGTTATCCGGTTTGAGATATGCAAACGTTCCTTCAACTTGCGCCCAATCTCGAGCACGGCTGCTCCTTTGCTGGCATCTCCAGTCCAAACACCTATTTTATCCCCTTTATACCGTATGTTAACAACTGCTCCACAAACTTCATCGGAATTTTCAAAAGCTTCACCAATCAGGCACAAAATCTAAAAGTATAATATTTACATGTCAAACTTGATATTCACATTATTATTTTTACTCACAATATCTAACCAGTATCGGTCTAAATCATTAGTTCTCTGTTTCTTCTCTAAACTGATCAACCATCTGCCTCCCTTCTTATTTGCAGCATCTTCCCACATCGGCCTAATACCTTTCTTAAACAACGAATAGTCTGTCCCTTGTTTCAGTTCACTGGCAGGTTTTATGTGGTTATATAAACTAAAAATAATATAAAGAAATGTTTACAATATTAATTACTACAAAGAAAGGCCCAGTCTTCCTAAGATGCACATTTCAAATCTTTTACGAACCTCCAAAAATCTTCAACAGTGTCAAAAGAGGCTATTTCTCGTTGATTTTTTTCCCATGATTGATTTCTATCGTTTTCAAAATACCAAAGCGTCCAACAATTTTGCAACGGGTGTTTAATGGAATAATCCATGGATACATTTTCATTATCGTCTTTATATTCACTTTTTTCGTTCTAAAAAAGAAAATTCCATCTACTTCAATATGGCTGTCAAGATTTCAAAAACACGAATGTAATTTTTTTTATTCTGACCGATTGTTCTAAGATATACCAAAATATTAATGCGGGAGCATAAATACTCTAGTTTGTATATAACAATGCTGCCTAATTTTAAGAAATACCTCAATATCCAGTGAATTTGTAGACATTTTTACGGAAGCTGGACAGCCAAATGTCTATAACCAAAAAAGACGTTAATGTAGACAGGTGTACCCAGGGTGTACCAACATTAGAATTACGATTTCCTGTTATTTACAAATCACATTTTTTCATTAATTTTCAAATTATACTTCTGATTATACTGTTTTATTAATCCAAATGATAATATATATTATTCAGCATGACAAGTTATATAGAATGAACAAGTAAAAAGCAGAACAAATATTATTATTAAAAAAATATATCAGATTTTAAGTAACATAAAGTTTTTAGTTTAACGAGTACAAAAAAAAATATATTTACTTACTTACAGTCATTTAGAAAAGGTTTTCTTAAGATTTCTGTACAATCAAATAATATTTACTGCTTAATTTCTATTTACAACTATTTATTTATTAGTTTCTATGGCAAAAGAAAGTAAACGTATTTTAAGTTGCATATCTACTTCATGTCAGCCAAATGTCAGCAAATTTTATAAAAATACCTATAAATACCATTTCATTTTAAACTGACCTCTTCTGTGAAATTGACCTTTGCTGAACTAAAATTGAATTTATACATAGGTATAAATCTATAGTGAAATTGTGTTTTATTTCTCAAAGTTTATTCATGATTTTCTTATAATAATTAATGCAACTTACATAGTATATTACATATTTATATTATATTATTCTTTAAGTTTATATTAGACAAGTAAAACAATAAGTTTAACTAGGTATATAGGTTTTTAACTGGCATTGCTATTAGCAAGTATACTGTCAACTCTCTCAGCTAGATCTGTTCTACGAGCAGAGACCAATGCCTGCTGTAGTTTAGATCTCCACATATGGGGATTATTTTTAAGCCTTTGCAAATGGTTTTCTAAAATTTCTTTAACCATTTCTGGAATATTCCCCCTGTGTTGGGAATCAAGATTATCAATAATTCCTTCAGAAATTTTCAGTGCCCTGGCTAATTCCTTCCATTTATCGCCCATTTCAAGTCTAATTAAATCATGAATTTGTTCAATGTAGTCATCTGAGACAGGTGGAATTACTGAAAATTTAATTATAAATTATAACTCTCCAAGTTTACAAAACCTTTATTACAACCTCTTGTAGTACCTCTAGTAACTCCTGTGTTCCGAGAATTGGAATTAAGTATAGTTTGGATACGTTGATTATTGGGAGCGATTAAATCAATTATGTGTTTCAATATGGACCCATTTTCAACACATAAAATGCCCCTTTTTTCTAATACTTTGAACAAACTGTGTATATTTTCGATTTTGCAGAATCTTCTGTTAGAATTTATAACATCTCGGAAGTTATGTTTTAAAAGATTCAAAGAGGTATTTGTTGCACTAGATACTAATTCATTACAAATGTCCATGTATTGTACAGATGTTAATGCCATTTATATTTATCCGGATTACCTATACATATATCACTGTATGCCTTATAGTACTTAGACAATGTTTTGATAGATACTTCTTATGTTAAAAACAATTGAGACAAAAAAAATATATACAAAAAAGTAACAAAAAAAATATAAAATAAAATTTGACAGAAATGACAGACGTCAACATCTGTCAGTACCACAGATAACATACGTTAGTAACAGGACTTTGACCAGGGCGACCAGAATAATTTAAAGACAAAAACGTTTTTAAAAAATGCATTTGCACCAAATTTGTACCTACGCATCTTATTATAAAATCTCCGGTAATGCCCTATACATGCTACACTGTATATGTTGACATTAAAATTCAATTTAAAATTTGTATTAAGCATAGGCAACCAATAAAGCATTTGATTTTGAGTTTCTTGGGCTCAATAACGTATGATCACATATGATCGAAAAAAAACGGCATTCAGATGGCTTCACAGGATGGCTTGGAAATGACGATCCATTACATTTCCCATATAATTTTACATATAAAATAGCAGCGATCTTTATTACAAATCCATCATTGATATTAACTACGTAAAAATAAAAAGTCTGCAAGATTTTTTTAAAATTTTATATGTATGTAGATGTAGGTACGCATTATTTATATTAAAAATTACGTTATGCCTAACTACCGCATAGAAATTTCATTTTTTAATTTTTGCAAGAAACAAATACTATCTCAACGTATGAGCCTTATTGCTTATTGTAATAACAAAGAGAACACTGCTTGAAATAAAGATAACATATTTAACTAAAGGTGTAATAAAATTTTATTGCTCTAGCTGTAACTAGTTTTAATTAGCGCTGATTGGCTTAACTTATACGAAGTAGATTGCGGAAATAGATATTTTAAAATTAAATAATTTTACTTTAAGATGAACCAAAGGAATAGACCTATGACATAGCGTCTGGTTTATTATCATTATTTAAATAAAATAATTATACCGTTTATGTTGATAGAATAACTGTGAAATAACAAACACATAATAATTATAATTACAAAATATTTATATGGAATTATTCATTGCAACATTGCCGGAGATATGATCCGTTAAAAATCAATTTCAACTGCTTTACATGGACAGTTTTTCACTTAACAAAATATAGGGTCTGTACCTCAAAAGGGAAAAAACAAAAAACGGAACCCATGAACGGAACCCGTCCGTCTGGACGTGGAGCGTGGAGCTATCAAGTTGAAATTAAAACCATATACTCAGATCTACAGTCCCTTGAAGCTGTGAAAAAATCAAACTGCAAAGTTAACGTAAAAAAAATACGGCCGTTTATGCCGCACAAACGTAGTATATTTCAACATTCTCAAGAGAATCAACATTTATCGGATATTTTCCATCGACCTAGAACTATATGAAATTTGGCAAGTAATATCGTTTTATATACTACAAGCTACAAGTTAAGGGAGAAATCTGAAAACTAAACATATGTAATTAAATTATAAAAAATTGGTGCCGGGAGGCGCGTATAGCCGCCCATACTAAAATATGTTAATAAAAAGTTGGTAGGCAGTTCTTTTAGTTTCAAAAATAAAGGAATTTTTCCAATTTTTTTTTATCTCAAAAACTGCGACTCTGACTGATTTTGATGTTATTACAAATTTTGTTGCAAATATTATTCCTATTCTTAAATTGAAAACCGCGTTTCGCTAGCTAATGTAATTTTGTAGTTACGGTTTTTTAAAATTTTTAACCCTCTCCCATACCCCCTTATATACCAACCCACCTAACCAACAACTAATGGAACATTCTGTATATAACCTAAATATCACTAATCTGTCTATCGAATATACGGCCTTTTATTTAAATATACAGATTATTTGTATAAAATGTACCTACCAAACATTATCATAATTCATAGCTTTAAAAATAATATTTTTTATGGAAACCAGTTAATAATTGTTCTCCGTATACACTTGTCATTTATTTACATTTTAAATTGTTTTTTGTAACTTCAATTTTTTCGTCACTGACGACAATAGAAAACATATTATTGTAATTAAATTTAAACAATAAATCACAATAATTTCCTTAACGATCCTTCCTAGAGGAAAATTACTTACAGAGGAACGTTTTTTTTAATATACAACTCTGTGCATTTATATTAAGAATATATTCATCGACCTTCGCTTTCTCTTAATGATTACTATAATAATAATTAGTCTAACTTAGTGTGTTTATATTTATTGGAATTTTGGATATATGAGTATTTTATGTAGGTATACAAAATATAAATAATATGACAATTTAAATTCTAATGGTTAATTTTTGTTAAGGCAAGAGAATCTATCTTTTTGATTCCATTTTTTCAAACACTCCGATTAAAAATGTTAAGTGTGTTTTTTCGAGAAATAAATAATATTTCCTATGATCAATTTCTTAATTAATTAAATTCAAATATTTGACAGCTATTTTGTTATTCATTAAATTCATTTGCGTTATTCAAAGGCTTTTACGTCATATTCGAAAAATACTAAAGATATTTTGCATATTTCGGCCATCGGAGGTAAGTATCAAATCATGCCTGTAGGTCCTGTTTTAAAATTATCAGCAAAAAACATCGAGTTTTTAATTATTCCTCAAACTTGTTTTTTATTGCAAAGAAGAAAAAATCGCACATATTTTAAGCAGGCACACACTATTTACTTTTTACCTAAGAGTTAAAAAATAAAAAGGATATAAGCATCGTTCTAAATGCAAAATACCGTATGGTCGAAAAAAACGCGGTCCCCAATTGGCTTGGAAATGACCATCGGTGACATTCCTCATACTATAATTTTATATATAAAATGACAGCGATCTTCATTTCAGAGCCATCTTTGACGCGGTTTTATTTTCGATCATATTGTACAATAGAACCAAACATACCTATGTCACAAATTTGGAAATAGAAGATAAATAACTATGATCAGATATGGTTATAACAATTTTCCGAATAGATTGGTTACCAGCAATTGACTTAAATAAAAATAACTTTCTATGATAACGATTTTAGGTAAATTTACACATGTAACATGTAACATGTAACTAACAAGAAATACTACCTATAAAAAACAAATTCAGAGAGATATTAAGATATTTTGTAAACCAACTTTTATGAAAGAAACAGCAAAAAAAACAATGTAATTTTTAAATTTAGCACTAATTTGTATCTTTACGGTGCTAATGGTCACTTAATTTTTGTTTACAGGTTTGAAACGTTCTCCATAACAATTTTCGCGTATCGTACACCATCTAATTAAGGCATTGCCATTCTCAATTTATGTACGTGTGCAGTAATTATCGAAATAATTATAAGTCATCTTTTTTTCTATTGTCAGTAGTATTTTACGTCATTTACTTAAATTAAAATGTAATAAATAAACCTTTAATTATAGGTATAATCTTGTAAACCTGGACGTCACAAAAAACAGAGAAACAAACTCGGATATTACTTTATGTAGGTATAGTGGTATTAGTGGTAATAGAGGTAATCTACTCTAAACATCAAATTCAAATAACAAATAATAGGTTACAAAGTTCTTTTTTTAAGTAAAAATTATGCAAACAGCAGATGCGTATTTCTACGTATACAAGTAATTAAATCTTTGTTAAAATATTGACATAGTTTTCCTCAACAAATTTTTCTTATTCCAAAGTTTCTTTTTTTAATTAAATTGTTAAATTCGTATGTCACATATTTGATTAAATGACTCATTTAGTATTGTAGTCTATATTTATTATCTATATTAAAGGAGTGTTACATATTGTTTTACAATCTACAAAGTTATGGTCACAATTAAGTTTAAAATTAAATATCAGATTTACTTTTTTAACACATTTTTTGGAGAAAATTTCGAGAATTGTTTCAATTTTGACCTCTATATTAACATACAGTATGTCCTCATATTGTCTTTACAAGAGAAAAAAAAAGTTATTGACATTTCGAGAAAAATGCATTTTTCATAAAAAGTATTGCTTATTCTAAAATCATTAATACCGTTTATACTTTTCCAAATTTCCATACTGTTTTAAGGAAGAATAAAAAAAACATAAAAATAGTTGAATTTTTTGAAGTCCTAAAAATCAAAACACGTTTCAATGGAAATATAATTTCGTTATCAGTCATAGATTGTTATTGATAGAATTTTAATTAATGTCATATTTTTGGCTGTTTCAAAATGTTAAAGAAGTACAAAATTTATTTAGTTGAATATTAGGGAAAAATTATTATAACAGTTATCGGAAAATGTGATCCTTGGGAACAGCAAAAAATATGACGTTAATCAAAATTAATAATAGCAAAATAATAGCCATCTAAACGAAACTGGAAATTTTAATTGGAAAAAATTCAGCAATATTTTCATGTTTTTTTTTTAATTTTCTCTGAAACGGTAAGGAAATTCGGAAAAGTATAAACGGGATTAACCATTTTAGAACAAGCCAAAATTTTTAAGAAAAATGCATTTTCTCAAAATGTCAATAGTGAGTTTTTTAGGTATGTATACATATAGGTATATCTTAATAAACTGAATTTTTTATATCAAGCAATTCAATTGTATGTGATCAGAATATTAATTATTGTTTTTTTTTGGGAAATTAACCCATTAATGAGGGGTAGGCCGAGGAACCGGTTATGATAATAGATTGACCCAAAAGGATAATTTATAACTACATTTTTTCTTTTTAAAACCCAGTTAAATGACAATTAACATCCTTTAAATAATTTTATGCTTGATTTTTTAAAAGTACTAATCTTTTTCATTAATAACGTAATTAATGCTGTTTCACATGGAACGGACCAACCGCGCGGACCATCGTGTGTATTTTCAAGGTCCGACGGAGTACTTTCTCCTGTGGATCTTCCGTTACTTTGACAAGTACCTACCATGAGTTTATACGAATAAAATCATATGGGCGTGGATGTCAAAGCAAGGGCTCGACGGATGGCCGTCGGACAACATCATTCGGACGGATCGTCCGCCCCCATGTGAAAATACTCATATAAATTCGTGGTACTTGTTCAATCAACGGACGGCCCGCTCCATGTGAAACAACTCTTAATCTGTTAAAAATCTTCCAAAATATAGAAAAAATAAAACAATTAAAAAAACAAATGGAATACTATATAGTGTAGATAATAGGTATACAAAAATTAGGTATAGGGGTCAAAGATATACAAATGAATATTAAATTATTTTATGGATCGTCCATATTTAATCCTTTTTTTAATTTGATGCAGTAGTTTTCCTGGTATTTTTATAGTATGCCACTATTTAGCAGAAGAGAGAAAGTCGAGTCGGAAGATTTGATTCGATAGTAGTAGTATTAGCGTAAAAATTTACTTATATAGAAAAAAAAACACTCTTAAACAAATTAGGCAATTTATTTAAACCATTTCTTATAAGTACATACGTAATATATCAATGTAAAAATACAAGTATGTACAACACAAACAAAACTTATTTATAACACCGTGTGGCACGGCATGAAAGTGAAGTTCCATCACAATCGATATCCATCGAATTTATTTTAACAACCCGCGTTAGTCAAGAATTACATAACAAACTGGCTGTTACTCTATAGAAATGTGTCGTTTGCAACATTTCTTTCTAAAAAGCGTTTTTTTTTTTAACTAATTACAAACTTGAGATGCCTTATAGCAAAGTCGTACATATTAACTAATGACTAGCCCAGAAAACAAAGAGTCACAAACCATTCTACGAACATTAAATTATATCAATAAAAATTCCAAAATAGGTATAAAAACAGGTTCTATGTTATTACTTTAAATGGAATAATACCTACGATTTCGCAAAGGTTTCATACCCAAGGAAAATATCACTTCTAAAATTATTTTTATAGTTTTACAAATACGAAATTTATCGATAATAAGCTAATACAAAACAAAGTTTCATCCAAAGCGTTATTATGATATTATGTGCGTGTAATTTCACAGTTGGCACACGGGTTCTACGCTCACCGGTACGAAAACGGGCACCTTAAAATTTTGATGTATTTTAAAGTTTAATATAATACCTGGTTCTAGTGGGCATATTTTGATGATTTTTTAAGTAATTTGTAGCTATATTATTTTACCTTTTAGTATATCTTTCTAAATTAAAAGCGAGAGTTCCCATCTGTCAATTATACGAGGGAAAACAAAATGTTGATATTTTGGTGAATGTTTGAAACACCCTGTGGAATATATTAATAAAGCAAAGAATGTAAAAACTATTTTATCATCTAGGTACGTCTTTTCCAGATAGTTTGTTTTTAATCGTCTTAATAGCTTTATTTCTATTTGAGTTCGCTTTTGAATAAAACAGTAAAGATTTTAGCATTGAAAATATGCCTTCGCTTTTGGGTCCTCATCAACACACTAAAATAGTGTTTATTGTTTTTGTAATTTCATTATGGTTAAAAAGTCATATTATTATGTTTTATCGACGTTTACTCTAGTAGAGATGGCTTTACATAAAAATCATAAACAATATTTCATAGGTCTGTTGAATAGGACAAAAAGCAAATACGAAAAAATCTTATTGTCTTCTTCAAAAGCGAATATCTCCAAAACAAATAAAGCTATTGAGATGAAAGAAAAAACAATCTACCTATCGAGAAAAAATTTACATGTCAAAATGATGATTTCTGAATTCATTGCTTTCCAAACTTTCATTAAATGTCAACATTTTGTTTTCCTTCGTATAATTGACAGATGGGAACTTTCATTTTTAATTTAGAAAGATATACTTACTAAAAAGTCAATAATTTAGCTACAAATTCCATGAAATTCCTTAAAAAATTATCAAAATCAGTCCACTAGAACACAATATATAAAACTTTAAAATTAAAGGTGCCTAAATAATTATTAAATTTGAAGGTGCCCGTTTTTCCTGTCCTTGAGTGTAATTTTAAAAATGTTTCTAAAGAAACCATTTTTTTTATTTTCATGCAAAAAGTAAGAGGTTTTATAAGGTAACTCTGAAATTTTGTTTTGTAAAAGTTTAAATATTCTTTTTAAATACGGACAAATTATCAAGTTATTTAATCACTGGCAATATATCAATTTATATTTAATTTCTACTTAAATAAAAAAATAACAATGCCTATTGCTAACCTAATCCATATTACTTAAAATAAATTATTTGAATAGACCATCAAACTGACGGAAATAATAACAAACGCATAAAATAAACAGTAACAAAAATTGTGCGATCAAAATAATTTCATGACATACTTAATTATTTATAGACAACACATTAATACGATTTTTATAATCCTACAGTAACTTTCTAAAAAACTTTATAATCATCTTTTTCTATAGATATTAAAACTCTTTTTAATTGTATTTTGATATTTTTTAATCAAAATAGTGCATAATTCTATATCTTAAGCTGATGTAGTAATTTAGAACTCTAACAAAACATTATTTTACCAATTACTTAAATTAATGAATTTTTTAAATGAACCGAGAGATAGGAAAATACTTTTTTATACTTAAAATACTTTTAAAATTAAATGCATTTCTTGCTACCAGGAATGTTCTGCAATGCTCTTTACAACTTAACACCTAGTGAATCTTAGATTTCATTAAAGGATATTCTGCAGTAGAAGCAGAGATATTCTTTTTCTTGTTGCTCTTCAAAACGTAAGTGGTATAAAAGAACCTTGCAAAAAGTACAAAATAGCTAAAATACATGGCAATGGACAGCTTTACATTAAAGGGCGTAACGTGACATTCAATGTTCTTTTGTAGAAGTTGATGGGCCCACAGATTTATTGCACATCCAACAACCATCTGTAACAGTTGTAAGGAAGTTATGACCATGGCTATTTGTCTTGGAGGTGCATATCCTGCTGCTCTCAGTGCAAAATAGGAGTACATAATAGAATGTACACAATAATTCATAACAATAAACCACCTTGCACTAGAGGTGTACTCTGAATAACTGAACCAAGAATATAGAAGCACAGTTATATGATGGTACCAATGTAAGAAAATCAGTGGCTGTTTCCTAAGGACTATAAAAACTGTATCGCCCAGTTCAGGCAGCTTACTCAGTACAAACATCCATGTCCAGAAGCCAGAGACCCTGTCCTGCTCAATGAAAGAGGGCACACATACCGAATGATAGAGCCCGTGGTGGGTGAGAGTGTGCAAAAACTCTGGAACCGTCCTGCAGGCACCAATGATACTAAACGTCCCTAAAATCGTGTTCCATAAACATAAGACGCCCCTGAGCTCGAATCTGGGCCTGTTCTGCATCAGGTACTGGCCCCCAAAGATAAACACCATGTAGGCGCCCACATAATAGAACCCCAGCGTCCAGTTGTCCTGCATCCAGGTCCTGGTTTTCTGGTGGATGAAATCCGACTCGAAATTGAAAACGTAGGTGTAGTTGGGCAATGTAACCTGATTGTATTCCTTCATTTTGTCGGGCACTCACTCTCACTGAAATGAGCGCTTATACAATCCGCGGACCTGTATGTTTACCAACTCGACACCCGGCACACTTTCGTTCTACTCTTATTAGAAACTGTAAATTTCTCGACGGATTCTTCGATTATAAACTGGTCGCGGCCGCCGGCCAAATAGCTTGCGTTGCGATTGCCGAAACGCTGCGCCCGCCCGAACTGTGTCATTCGCTGGGCCGTTTGCGCGCCATTTGCGCATGATTTCGGTCAGAAACCGCCTTAAAACGTTCAAATTTCCACCCAGGACATCGCAAAATTTCCTAATATTCTTTTCTTTTTTAATCACTTCAAATAATACAAATACACAGCACTTCGTTTAAATCGTCTATAATAACGTAAATATAAACAAGGTAATACATAGGCACTTTATATTTTCTATAGAAATTATACATATTATACTTTGATTTATGTATTCACTTTAATTGAGAAAACAAAAAAAAAAACATTATAAAACATTTTTAGATATTTGAAAAATTTTAAATCACATTCCACCCTCTGGTTTTTTCTGTCCCTATTCAAAAAAAAAACAATAAAGTTAGGTACACAAGAATAGGCTTATTCCGCCAAGTCCCAAGGACACTCTCCTCTTTGCTCCTCTTTATTCTAGTGGCTATCGTTAACTGTCTATCCTGAAATTAAGATTATTCTGGCCCGGTCTCTACAATATTGCTATACCAGCACATCAACTAACTGAAAATTTGGCGTCACACATAAATAAATTTTAAAATCAAAACTTTCCAAGCAGAAAGTAATGAAATTCGTATTTTAAAAAATCAGAACATGCGCTAAACTGTTGGCAACACTGATGCAGAGGATAAATATGATAAACATTGGATAAACATGTTGGCAACTTAGCCAAACGTCAATCGTCAATTTTTGTCATGAGTTTTGTTTATTTTTTTAATACTTACCCTTTACAGATTTTTCCTCTTTTTAACTATTAAAAAAGGAGAAAAACATTTCGGGTCTCACGTCTCACCTATGAAGTCTACCCATATATAAAAGGAATAGGTTCTAAAGAGCATTGAATGAATTAAGTATTTTCTTCATAGAAAAATGAGCAATCCAGGAAATGATAATAATCAACCTAATGTAGATTTAAGCAAGCCTCCTCCGGGTTATGTGGTAAGTTACTGTATTTATCAGTTCATTAGTATAATAATTTCTTTCTAATTTAGCCTAGGGCATACAGGAGAACTGGTTATTCATGGACAGATTACCAAAATTCTTCAAGTAAGTTTTACCACAATATCTAAAATAGTAAAATGTGTCTGTTATTAGTTTCTTAGTCTCTCGTTTGACTGCGAATTTCAAATACCTTTATTTGATTATTTCATGATTTTGTTGATAAAAATTGGCTATAGGTAGGTATTAAGTATGCACTGATGTTATAAGGTAAACCCGCTTACATATTTTTTTCTGAAAATAGATTAATCTATATTGGATTATATCATGATATAGATGTTAAAGCTTGATTTCATTATATAGTAAAAGACACAGATTCTATAGTTCCAAGCACTTATAATATCTATTTATTTAATTAACAGTTGAAATAATTAACAAGCATAATATATTTTAAGATCAGAGCACAGGAAGAGGTACACCAAATAATCGACAAACACCTAATTCATATAATAGGTATGCTGAGAATTCTCAGATAAAATTAGAAAAGGATGTTAGCAAGCCAGGGTAAGATATTCTGTGTTTTTATTTATCAGTAAAAACAGTTTATAGTTAAGTTATAATTTAAAACAGTATAGTTAAAAGAATTAAAGAAGAAAATCTCAGATACATTATTATTAATATCAAAGCAGTTTACGACTTTAAGATTTATTTTAAGTGAAATAACCTTGGTGATTAGTCTATTATCCATTATTCTATAAATTTGTTTGTTTAGCAAAACATGGCATGGGTAATAGGGGTAATTTCTATCAGGTTCCTATATCTTGTTAAATAATTACGTAACAGCCTAAAATTGATCCTTATAAAAAATTGTTTGCAACACAAAATACAGGGTGGTCCGAATGGTATTCGCGAAACATCACAGCATATTCTACAGATAACAATAAGTAAAAAGTTTGTATAAATTTATGTCCTAAAATGCTTTGTTTTGGAGATACAATTTCTGAACTAAAGTCTATGTTTGACTTGAGAAATTTGATTTTGATGTCAGTTTTGAAGATAACTTTTCTTCCATTACTTGTATTACACTACTGAGCGAAAACATATACATTTCCTTAATTTTTACGTAAAAAAAGGTTTCTTGGTAAAAATCGCTACAAGGAATGGTCTCAAGAAATTTGGAATCAAAATAGCCAATACATGTCATAATTACCAAAAATTATATATGTTCACTGGATAGTTATTAGTCTGAAATAATAAATTTAAAATGTATTTTGTTCCAAAGATTCAACAGAAACTGTATTATCGTTTTTTTTTTCATAAAAATTCATGACTAGCTTGAAAAATAAAAAGTTCCCAAATTTATTATTTCGGTCAAATAACTACTAGTCAACATGTTTATTTTTCGTCACTATTTACATTTGAATGTCTTGAAAACAGTTGCTCGTAGCGACTTTTACCAAGAGACCTTTTTTACGACGGAAATGAATATTTTTTCACTCAGTAATTTTATACAGGTATGGGAGAAAATATATTTCTTTTCAAAAGAGCTTTGATTATAGATATAGACAAGGAAAAGAGTTAAAAACATGTAGGTGACGCCCTCTACAAGTAGGAGTCATATTGACATCGAAGTCAAATTTCTCATGTTGAAAAACACCCAGACACCAATAATTTTCATCCAAATATCGACGTTAGTTCAGATATTATTTGGATAAAACCGAAATAAAAATGAAATTTCTAGATCCTGTATCTCCGAAACGAAGCATTTTAGGACATAAATTTACAGGAACTTTTTTACTTATTTTTATCTGCAGAATATACTGCCGAAGTTTACCGAATACAGTTCGGACCACCTTGTATATGGAGATACTTTAATGCATATGGAAAGATGATTTTTTTAGGTCAAGTAACGCTACATTTAACAGTGCAAATCAGTCCAACTTTCAAAATGGTTTCTATGCAAATTACCTTCTTCAACCACCTCCTCCTCCGCCTCCAACAGATTCAACCTCATCTTCAGCCAAGGAAGCCCCTTCGCCTAATCCTAGTCAAAATTACTACTCCGACTTGTATAATACGTTGTATGCTGCACCGCCTCGCTCTCAAACTGCTATAGGTAAGAACTAGGTAATCAAATACTTATGGTTAAATGTTTATCAATTTTAATAAGGATTTTTGTTTAACTAAAATTAAGTTAAAAGATAGTCAAGATCAAAAATATAATGTTTTTAAACTTATCAAAACATATTTATCTGAATTAGTGTTTTATTAAGGAAATGTATAGACGCAAAAATAGTATAAGATTTTAAGGTGTATTAGTGGTGTACAGGCCCTGTAAATGTTTTATATTGGTACAGGAGCTAGACCGACCGTTAGTCCCAAACCTGCAGAGGAGTATAAGGGCCAGTATAACAGAAAGTATAAAGGATATTACAATTACAATAGATCTGGTCGCAATTATTATCCCTATACTAAGAATAGACAAACGGCACCGAAGGTAAGTTGAAAATGTGATGATGATATTTAATAACGTCCTAATATAGTTCTGACAGATTCATATCCAATCAGAAAAATTAGTAACTTTTATATAGGGTGATTTACGGCGATGGTGCTTTATGGAAAACCGGTGATAGATTTTTTTTCAAAATTTGGATTTTTACACAAAGGCACCTACTCGTTGCAATGTCTTGCATTTTTACGTTACAAACAGCAAAACCGTAATGCTGAAAATAATTTAGACATATGGAGCAGGTGCCTTTACGCAAAAATCCAGGTTTAAAAAAATCCTATCAGCGGTTCTCATAAACGTCTAATATGCCATGGCCGTAAATCACCCTGTATAGCAGGACAGAAAAAATATGATCGATGGCATTATGGTGAGTGTCATTGATTGTCATTAGGCAATAACTCCTTCTAGGAGTTTTTGCATCAGGGTTTGATACATTCATTACATAATTGGAAAATTCTTAAACATTTTAGATAGATTACAATTTTTCTCTCCTAAATTTGTACGTAATTGTCCTGGTTATACAGGGTGTTTCAAAAAACATGTACCGTCTCTCGCGGGGAGATAAATGCGAATGAAAAGTTTGCCAAATTATGTCGACTGTACATATATGGTGCTTGATTCTTTGTAGCCTCACGAGCCGCTGAATAAAGGTAAGAAGAAAAAACCGCTGTCCCAAAGCATGCCGTCGACAAGGGGCTGGACGCTGGAGCAGGCGAAGAGGGCCCTGGCAGTGGAAACGGAGTACAACAGGCGGCACAAGAGCCAGTCTTTGATTGTGAAATTTCCCGACAAGGAACTGAACAGGGAAATTGTGTCCAAGCTGCACGGCCAGATCGACCACGTATACTTTCAGTTGCCCTGCACGCCGCGCTTCTGTTTCGTCACACTAAAGGTAATTAAATCGGGGTACCGGCCAAATTCGCGTTTTATTTAAATATTACTTGCCGTTCAATTTTAGGAAGATGCCAACGTGGGCAAGGTCATGGAAGAACTGAACCAAATCAAGTTTGGCGACGGATATTTGACGGTGGAGCCCAAGAAGGACAGGGAGGAAGATTTAAGACTGGGTCCCGAAGATATCGATCCATTAACTTTGTATGTGGGCAATCTAGCTCAGGAGGTAAGAAGATATATTATTTGACTCTTTTTGAAAAGTTTACAAAATAGCATACATTTTGCTTAGTAGTTAGTTCTTTTTCGAGACGTACAACAGCCGATCTTATATTATCTAAGATGCACATTTAGAATACGCTAAAATATTGTATCGCCAGCTTTAGTGCAATGGAGTGTAGTTTTCCCTCTCAAACGATTTATTAATACATGCAATGTTTTTTTTTGGCATAATTCAGGTTACGGTAGAAAAAGTTCACAAGGCTTATCCGAAAAATAAGAGGGTGGACATAGGTTTCGCGAAGAAGATGAAGTACACGAGGTACGCGTTTGTCTCTTTTCACACAGTCGATGACGCCATCGAAGCCTTTCAAAAAACTCGCGCCGAGGAAATGTATGCCAAAACTATAATAGTCCGATTCAGAAGACTGCACGGTACAGTAGGTAAGTCCGAGAAACACCGTAAAAGTCTGTTTTTGCACTGTAAAGGTAGAAAATATAATTTTTTAAGAAATTTATTAGTTTTAATTTGAAATGGTGCGCACAATAATCGTGTTTATTTTCGCTGTCTCGTTTGATATTTTTGTCTTCCAGATCTTTCAGGAAATGTTTTATACGCTTACTAGCAGACCCGTTACGGCTTACGGTCTGTAACATATTGTAAAGATTTTTCATCCACATTCTCCTAGGTCTGCCGGGCGAGCCGAAACCGCAAAACACGAAGAAGAATTCGCCAGAAGGTCGGGCCGCGACCAGCCACGAGAAGAAGAACCCGTTCGACGATTTGTTCGGGTTCAAAGAGGAACAGCCAGACCCCTACGAGGAAGATGCTATCACGGACTTTGACAGTTTGAATCTGTTGGCGAGCGCGCCGCCAAGCGAGTTCGACCGCGTCTCGGTCGCCGGTTTCCCGGATTCGCTTGTTCCGGAGGCAGAGCCGGTCTCGCCGGAACCGGTCCTGGCCAAGATCAAGACGGAACCGCTGGACGACGAGGACATGGCGCCCGCGGACCATCCTGACGACGCGCCACTGCATCATGAATCGTACGTATAAAACAAGTTGTCGGAAAAAAAACCTTTAACTTGATATGTTTCTTACGAATTAAGACCGATTTTCATGGGTCCGATATTCAAAATGTACAGGGTGTTCGGAGATTTTTTGCACATCATTGTTTCATAATGAGATCTATGGACTAAAAATATTTTTTTTCGGAAATACCGGAAGTTGACAGCAACTTTCTTAATTTAAGGACTACCCCAATTTTTATTGCGTATTTAAATTCTCGGTAAAATTTTATGAATTTTGATATTAAACACTCTATACCCGGCATTAACCGTTTTTAAAAAAATATTTAAAATTTTTGGACAAAAATAACTGTTTGTCAAAAAAAATGTATAACCTAAACGCCAAATTTGGTGAAAAAATTGTTTGAAAAAAATCTCCTATCTAGATATTGTAGGAACTTCTATAGAAACTTGTAATGCACGCTCAGCCTGGAACACCTTGTATATATCGGAAATATATTCCGTGGTTTTAAAATTTATTGCATTCCCCTGCCCTAGTTTACCGGAAAACACGAAATCTCACAATACAATTTTTCCACTTTAAAAAGTTGTGAGATCTCATGTAAAACCAAGTCAGTTTATTTTATTTGGTTTCTCTTTAAAGTCATTATAATTATTACAGGAATAAAGATGACTAATATTGATACTAACAATTAGTAACAAAACTGTTGAATAGGTGTTTAAAGAGAAATTAAATAAAATAAACTGACTTGGTTTTACATGAGATCTCACAACTTTTTATAGTGGAAGAATTGTATTGCGACACTTGGCATTTTTTACATTCTATCTTTTTGATGGGATGGATTTTATTAGAAGAAATTTTAATTTCCATTTTTAATTCTCCTTATACATTTTTACATTCTACATAAGAAATAATCTACAACCCATTTGCTAATGTTTTTTTTTTCAGTAAAAAGGTATTTACAGCATCCATATTATGTTCTGAATAACAATAACTATGAATATTAAGATCTGGTTGGTAAACAATCGACTCACTCGTACGAGTTCGCATCTATTGTAATAGTCGCTCGAGTAGAATGGATCAAATTATGAAAATGTCCAATTCGTTTGTTTTTTTTTTCTGCTTGCAGGGACCCGGCTAGTGAGAACATCCAAATCCCGTTCATTAAAAAAGAAGAGGACATCTTTGACGATAAATCACAAACCATCCATAATGACGATAAAGGTCTGTTAGATGAAACAAATGTACGGTATTATTGAAAAAAAAAAGGCGTTACGTGACTTAGAAATGACCGTTGATGACACTGTATTGTACTCCTAGTACAATATGACCAAAAAAAAACTGTCAGCTATGGCTATGAAATGAAGATCGCTGTCATTTTATATGTAAAATTATATGGGAAATGTCATCAATGTTCATTTCCAAGCCAACTGGACGACGTTTTTTTTTCGATCATACGGTAGTATAATTTTTTTTTTCTTAATCTTTGCTATTGCCAAACTAAACTACCAATTGCTAATTTATTGTCTTTTCTGTTTAGTTGATAGCCCGGACTCTCTTCAGCACCTCCTCAGATTATTAGATGACGAGATTAATCCTGGTGTGAGTATGACTGGTCAATTTAATAATAATTCTTTATATAATATAGTTTTTTGTAGAAGAATTATCCGTATCATCAGTAACATAATGGTGTACAACAGAATCACAATATGTGATATTTTACCTATGCTATTTAAATAACAGCTATCGTTTTATGTTTTAAATTAAGAGTATTTTTAAATATTTAAGTTTATTATGTATTACATTATGGTAGGAATAAAATATTTTGACTGTACTCTCTACTAGGGTTTACTGCGTTGCTGTTTTAAACAATTGATACATAATATGTTAATATGTATGTTATTATTAATAAATGATATAAATTAGATGTATTTTAAATTTCATTTATTTTCTCCGGGGTCTAGGCCATAGATCTCTAGGCTCAATAACGACTAATTAACGTTAACGAGAGTCTTAGGCTGCAACCTCACGAGCGCCGAATTGCGGAACTAAATGTCAAATTAATTTCGCGGCGTTAAAACAGATATACCTTAGAAAATCTACTCAATTCAAAAGAAAACAATTCCCGCCCAATTCGAGTTATCTTTTTACAAAGTCTTTTTAACATGCATTACCTATCCTATTCGAAAATAAATCGCTAAAAAGCTTAAAATATTTTAACTTTTTGCTATACCGCAAAATCATAGAAAGCGAATATTCGCAGTACTCAGTATGGAACAAACAGAGATATGGAAGTGGGAGAATGAGCTTCGACGAGTGCGCATCCAAATTTTTGTCGACGGCAAGATGGCAGACATCTTCCAGGTCTCGCTGTCACTTCCCCTCTTTAATTGACATCTGTTTGTTTTGTTTTTTTTTTTGTTTGTGTTGTTATCTAGTTAAAATTTATTATTATCTCAATTATTCTAAACACTAATTCAAAAACGCTTGTTGTATATTGCATAGTCATTCTAAGAAAGCTAATACGCCGGGAAAAATGATTAGTTTTCATGTGTAAGTTTATACAACATAATCGTGTTTACAGATGATCCAAAACGGTTTATTTTTAGTTTTCCTAAAGGCGATTTGTAAAAATCGTGATTGTAATTGGGAATGGTCAAAAATAAGTGTATGATGTGGCCATTTAAAGAGGATGTTTTTATTACGTGTGGAGGAAGAAGATACTTGGAATCAATGTTCGTGCTTCTGTAAAACAGTGCACTCTTATAGTGTCCATGAAAGCACAAGTTCAAGTGTACCAGAAATATGTCAAATAAGATTGGTCCTTACTTGACAAGAAGATTATTTGGAGGAAAAGAAAACATGAGATAGGGTATTTTAATCGAACAGCGAAAATTTAACATTTTTATTGTAAAGTTTGTTGTAGGTAGTTGTAGTTTTGTGCTAAATATTTCTAACATTAGCAGCAGCAGTGTTCAGAGTGTCAAGAGGAGGAGAATTCAGTTAATTAGATTTATGCACAGTTACAGGTATGAAGGCTTTTTCAAACATAGTATCAAGTTCTATAGTCAACATTTTTAGTATTCCTACTACTGTAAATACAAGGAACATTGGACTGAAAAAATGGCAAGATTTATATAGGAAGAAAGGGTATTATGCCAATAAGAAAATTAAATCTGTAGGCAGAAGTTTCTTATTTAAAAACTGTTATGGGGCATATATTAATTTGTATCTGTGCCACAAATCACTGAAAAAAATCATATAATATTCATAATTGTTAACGAGATGATATTTAAAGAGTGTTAAAAATGAGACTATTAGTCATGAAGCTTACAATGTTACTTTGTTTCAATATTACACTTTTATTCTTGTAAAATCTATGATGAAGTTCAAAAGCATTTTGCAATGGCCTTAAATTGTGAGCCAGGATTTATAGCAAAGGTATTTGATGCAATGAAACTTAATCGGTACCTTCCAGTATGTATTTTAGTAAGGGGATTGTCAATCCCATGTTTTTAAATAGATAAAATACAGGCCAAAGTTGACAATATTACAGTTGAGAAGAAACTATTTTATCTTAAAAAAAATTTCTTAAAATTCTGAGATCATATAATCTAATTTTCTTAATAATAAATTAGGTATATGTATGTTGTACATACAGAATTTTGTTATGGACAAATAAGGATCGACAAGCTTCTTTACGACAAACATTACAATCAAAGTATATTATATTAGTAACATTATAGGTAAAATATGTTACCTCTATCTCCCATTGACGTGTATTGTTCTATAAGACTCGTCATGGTAGTATTTCAAAACATCAATACAAATAATCAAAGCTATTGTTGCCTGTCTGTAAATAACTAGAAATTAAATAACTTGAAAGAAATAAAACAATTCTAATAAGAAAAAATTCGTGTAAATATATAAATAAATGTTATTATTATTCAACCACTTCCATTTCTTTCGAGTGATATACATATTAATCTCACTTGATGGAAATTCCCTCTACAACAGAATGTGGAAACTGGAAACTCCCACCCTATATTTATATTACAATGTATTAACTAGAATATATAACTGTCATTGTATACCCACCTAATATGATGGTTTTAAATTTATGTCTTTTGTGTTAATTTTTAAGTTAATTGTGTTTTATATATGTATTTTATTTTATATTTTGACTTATGTACGCCACTATTTGTATGGTATTGACATCAATAAATTATTCTATTCTATTCTATTCATATCTCATCTGTGATTATTACAATTTTATATATTCATATTACTTTCATTTCACAATCTTCATTATCCTTCTTACCTTAATTTTGGATATTAAGATAAATCTGAAATTATAAAATTAATTATAGAATTTGTATTATTATTGACAGTTATTGATTAACACTTAACACTCAAAAAAAATTTTTTCAACTGCAAATAATTCGAAAATAAACTGCAATTTGGCAACATCGACGATGTGCGCTTGCGTAGTATCGATGATCAAATCCAGCAAATATGGGCTTCAAGGTCAGCCACCGGATCCACACCTTTACCCACTTTAGTATATTTCTTGTCTATGGGAACCACTTTCTGAGTCGGTAGTCGGTAGGCTGCGGCAGAGACAACTACGAGACGATCAAGCGCATATGGGAATTAGGCCTGCCGGATCTCTGGCCAGATCAAACTTCTTTGGAAAATTAGCATCTGTAGTGAGAGGGCGCTGTTTCGCAAATTTAAATGACCCGGTACATATTTTACTGCTTTTATTTCCGCATCCGTTTTAGTCCCCGCCTCCCGCTAGTCCCGCTCTACGCGACGCCGCGGCAGCCATTGCTCATATCAAATATCGATTGTCGATTTGATTTTTCGCTTGCGAATTTCCAAAGTATTTGAGTTGTATTAGCAATATTATGTGTGTTTAAGTGATCACTAATATCCTATATATTGCGCGAATTACCCAGAGGTATCTATTAACCACAATAATTAGTGAATTTCAACGCAATTAGTTAATTTTTATTTGAAGACCAACATGGGAACAAGGCCTATATTTCGCTCAAGAAAAATGTTGTATTGATAGATCTATGGAGGAAATAACAAAGATGAGTCCAGAATTTAGCCAAAATGCATAATTTTCCAAAAATACTGAAAAGTAAGTACATATAAACATATGTTTAGTATTGCAATAAAACTGATAAAATTTTCTTCTCCCGGTGATGGGAGAAGCCATGACAAAAAAGTCAAAGATAATTCTACTACGAAAATACAATATTCTTTGCCTGAGGCTAGCCAGCTTAGCTTGTTTAAAAATGCTATATTAAAAACACATTTGTGAATTTTATTTGTAGATGGACATTTGCTGTTTATAAACTTTCGAGTCAGATATTAACTTTCTTTGAGGATCAGCTATATTTTAATAATTGAGGAGTAAGAAAATTAATAATGTTTTGTATTTGTAGACCAAAAATATGACAAGAATCTTTGAAAATATAACACAATGCCTTTTGTAATTATGTTGTTTTGTGATGATAGTAAAATTTGGTTGATATAAAACTGAAACATAACTATTCCTGCTCTATGAATGACTCTGTGATAACGTTACCCAGGATTTAACTAATTCAGGTGAGCAGTTAAGCCCTAGGCTCTAGTATATATTTTTTCAAGTTATTTAAAATACAGGGTTGTAAATTAGCTTCATATCTTTCTTCATATCTTCTTCTTTTTCAAGTGTTATATAGTTTCACTTCCATGTTTTTATAAAATATGCAGGGAATATTACACTAAATTTTAAAATAATATTTTATATGTCAAATAATACCAATGTTTTTTAAAATATGGCCATTTTTAAAGATTAACTTTTCTATACATTTAAAAATCACAAAATTGTAAATTCACATTTTCTTTTTAATTCAACGTATGTATAAAACTGTCCTCACATTTGATTTATACAAAGGTACTTTAATTTCAAAATATTTATTGATATTTTGCAGCTCCATCAGCACAATAAATCATGTTATGTAATTTTGTAGAGAAAAAATACAGTATTTTATTTTCTAATGGGACTAATAACAAAATTGAACATTGCAGCATAATCAGGTTTCGCTAGACAAGAGAAATATATGACCATGAAAGTGTATAGAAGATAGGCCTGAAAATAATAATATTCACTGTTAAAATAAAATAAAAGTGATTCAAGTTATAAAAGAACTAACCAGTGTAGAAAATTCACTTTCAAAAAGAAAACATAAAAATGGTTGTAAGTAAAGAAGCTTATATTCTATTATTTCTTTATATAAACTATTTTGTTTTATTTATAACATCCTAGTTTAAATAAAATATTTCCTATTACTACTTTGGTAAATAATTTTAAGTAATCGGGTCTAATCAATTTTAAAATAGTTAGAAAATAAATTTGTTATATTCGAACATATATTTTTTTATATTTTATATTTAATTTAATAGGTAATTGTTTATATTAACTTTTACACATGTATTTATAATCTCTTAGTTATAAGTATTTATAAAAAGATCGTGTTGCAGATAGAGGTGATAAGCAATATGTAAAATTTGTAGGTACAGTTAAAGTGGAATGAACTGATATTTTTATAGAAACAGAACAAAACTACTAAAGGGAAACGAGGTGAAGAGCTGTATGACAGATGAATCCGTCACTTGTCTTGTGGAAAACATGCTTTTCTTATGGTTAAGAAGTGGTATATCATCTTCATGTTCTTTCATAATTGAAGCACCATCATTGTGTATCATGTAGAAAAACTGCCGACATTCATAGGTAATCCCAAAGCGTAATATAAAATAATTTACATCCTATATTCCCTATATTTGTAGGAAATGTCAGTCACAAAATCTGAAATATAGGGTAAAGGAGCCTCACTGCAACTTCTGATAAGACTATCAGAGAGGATAATATAC